TTAAAGCCCAAATCATTTATTTAACTACGGTTTTGGCCCCATTTTGGCGTCCTGAGGGGGCCGCGCTCATCTTCCCTCATAGCAAAATCATTGATTTTACAAAGGTTTTGGGATCATTTTGTCCTTCTCAGGGGGCAGCTCTCATTTGCGCTTCTGAGGAGGTCGCAAGAGGCCCCAAGATGGCCCCAAGAGGCCCCCAGGAGGCTCCCAAGAGGCCCCCCAGAGGCCCCCAAGCGGCCCCAAGAGGCCCCCAAGAGGCCCCCAAGAGGCCACCAAGAGGCCCCACGAGGCCCCAAGAGGCCCCCAAGAGGCCCCCAAGAGGCCCCCAAGAGGCCCCACGAGGCCCCAAGAGGCCCCCAAGAGGCCCCCAAGAGGTCCCCAAGAGGCCCCCAAGAGGCCCCACGAGGCTCCAAGAGGCCCCCAAGAGGCCCAACGAGGAGCCCGAACGACTCACACCAGGACGAGGGGCCCGAACGACTCACACCACGAAGAGCCCGAACGACTCACACCACAAGGAGGGGCCCGAACGACTCACACCAGGACGAGGCGCCCGAACGACTCACACCACGAGGAGCCCGAACGACTCACACCACGACGCGGGCCCCGAACGACTCACACCACGAGGAGCCCGAACGAGTCACACCAGGAGGAGGGGCCCGAACGACTCACACCAGGATGAGGGGCCCGAACAACTCACACCACGAGAAGCCCGAACGACTCACACCAGGACGAAGAGCCCGAACGACTCACACCACGAAGAGCCCGAACGACTCACACCAGGAAGAAGGGCCCGAACGACTCACACCAGGACGAGAACCCCCAAACGACTCAAATCACGAGGAGCGTTTTCTCTCCCTCCTCCTCCGCCTCGTCCTTCTCCCGCTCCGCTCACAAGGAGGATGTACAAGGAGGCGGGAGGAAGGAGGAACAGGGGAGATATGCGGGGCCAAGCGGACACACGCCTGAAAAACACGACTGTCGACATGCTTCGCGAGAGTTGCTGCTGTGAGATGGGCTGGTGGGGATACGCGAAGCGTAAAGAATTTGAAGTCGGACATCCCAAAGGGGGCCGTCATCGCCCTCCCCACCATCACCCCTGTCAAAAAGTACAATTTGCGCGCGCTCCTTTGTCAACAAGCACATATGTCCACTAATCACTGGTTGCATATGAGACAACGTCGCCACGAGTACCTCGTCGCGCGCGCATGTCGGAGCTCACGCAAACCCGCAATATTTCATCATCGAAATTCCCGAACACGAAATAAACACGTGTGCTTTCATCATATCATGTGTCCTCACATCAGTAGGAACACGATTTTGTATTATTCGCGATAACGCGCATTACCGGCGGCGCCCCCCCCCGGTAACATCACGATTCGCGCCGGCGGCGTCTGGGAATGAGGCCGCACGCGCGCCAACTCTTCCGCGAGCGGACCATGGCCCACTCGCGCCTCGGGGAAGCGCCGCCGGGCCGAAGGGGCCCCTACGGCTGACAACCACGCCATTGTGCCCAAATGGCTTTGAATGGGCACTCCTACCTATTCAGGTCCGTCGACGATGTACGACGATGACGACGACGACCACGAGTACGACGACGAGTGCGACAACGAGTACGACCACGAGTACTAGTAGTAGTAGTAGTAGTAGTAGTAGTAGTAGTAGTAGTAGTAGTAGTAGTAGTAATCGTCATCGTCATCGTCATCGTCATAGTCAGTACTAGTAGTAGTAGTAGTAGTAGTAATAGTAGTAGTAGTAGTAGTAGTAGTAGTAGTAGTAGTAGAAGTAGTAGTAGTAGTAGTAGTAGTAGTAATAGTAGTAGTAGTAGTAGTAGCAGTAGTAGTAGTAGTAGTAGTAGTAGTAGTAGTAGTCGTAGTAGTCGTAGTAGTAGTCGTAGTAGTAGTAGTAGTAGTAGTAGCGGTGGTGGTAGTAGTAGTAGTAATAGTAGTAGTAGTGGTAGTGATCGTAGCAGTAGTAGTAGTAACCGTAGTAGTAGTGGTTGTAGTAGTCATACGACTAGCAGTAGTAGTAGTAGTAGTAGTAGTAGTAGTAGTAGTAGTAGTAGTGTAGTAATAGCAGGAGTAGTAGTAGTAGTAGTAGTAGTAGTAATAGTAGTAGTAGTAGTAGTAGTAGTAGTAGTAGTATAATGATAGCAGTAGTAGTAGTAGTGGTAGAGGTACTAGTAGTAGTGGTAGTGGGAGTGGTAGTGGTAGTGGTAGTAGTAGTAGTAGTAGTAGTAGTAGTAGCAGTAGTAGTAGTAGTTGTTGTTGTTACAGTAGTAGTAGTAGTAGTAGTAGTAGTAGTAGTAGTAATTACAGTCGTAGTGGTAGTCGTGGAAGTAATAGTAGTAGTAGTAGTAGTAGTAGTAGCAGTAGTAGTAGTAGTAGTAAAACATTGTTTGTACTAGTAGTGGTAGTGGTAGTAGAGGTAGTAGTAAGTAGTACTATTCGTAGTAATCACAGTCGTGATATTAGTAGTAGTAGTAATAGTAGCAGTAGTAGCAGTAGTAGTAGTAGTAGTAGTAGTAGTAGTAGTAATAGTAGTGGTGGTAGCAGTGGTAGTAGTGGTAGTAGTAGTAGAAGTAGTAGTAGTAGTAGTAGTTAATTAGTCCGTAAATTCCGTCATAGTAGTCTAGTATAGAAGAATAGTAGTCATAGTAAAGTAGAAGTAGAAGTAGAATCTAGGTAGTAGTAGTAGAAGAAGTAGTAATAGTCGTAGTATTAGATAGTAGTAGTAGTAGTAGTAGCAGTAGTAGTAGTAGTAGTAGTAGTAGTAGTAGTAGTAGTAGTAGTAGTAAGTAGTAGTAAGTAGTAGTAAGTAGTAAGTAGTAGTAGTAGTAAGTAGTAGTAAGTAGTAATAGTAGTAGTAGTAGTAGTAGTAGT